TGACACAATTTAGCCCATTAGAGACCCTCACTCTCTGGATCCTGTAACCCCCTGAGCCAGGCTCCACATTTCATGACTCAGGAATCCAGCAGCTTTTGTCTTCTCTCAGTTTGCTTTAAGCTCTAAATGCATTGTAATATGAGACTGAATGAATCTAAATCCTGCACTTTCCTCATCACCTGGAGTTTAGGTGAATTTAACCCTAACATAGGTTATTGATATTCAAGTGAAGGAGAAGGGAAGCAAGAAGAAGGGTGAAAAAGGTTTCCCGTACTAGCTTTTCAAACTTGTAACCACTTATTGTTAAAAATGCCTCAATTCCAATAATGAAAGAAATGGAGACTATGGATATCACGCTAGAGCGTGGGCAGCAGATTCTGTAACTGCGCTACTGTACCAACTTATTCTTAAATACTGTTCCTCTGTTTTGATTGAGTTAGAGCCAGAGGAAGACAACAAATTTGAAAAATCACCAAATTCTATGGAGATAAATAATGTTGTTATGTGCGAATCAAATCACCAAGTGAGTTTGAAGTCATATTTAAGTTTTTCTCACTTGAGTTAGCCCCATATTGGAGTCAATACTTGGTAAGTTAAAAAAAAAAGGGGGGGCAGCCCCATGAAGAACAGTTTACAGTGCTAGGGATTCTCGTCCATGACCTAACCTCTCAGCCAGAGGAAACCAAGGCCGAGTGCCACTGTCATCCGTGGGCCTATTTTATCTCAGAAAATTAACACCACCTCTTAGATAGGTTTAACCACATTTGTCTTCCTTACCTTATCTAGGTTCCTTTCTCAGCCAAGAGGAAGACATCAGATTCACTTCTGGAAAAAAATAAAGTCGACTGTTTCAGGCTTTCACAAATGCAGAGAAGTACTCCATCCCCACCCCCAGCCATCTTTCCCTGACTTTAATTTTTTTCCGCATCGTACATTTCTTCAGTCACCTCTTTGTTTTTTGTCTGTACTTCCATAAGTCATATGAAAGCAGAGACTTTGTTTTACTTGTCTCTAGTGATCAGAACAGTGCCTGACACATAGCAGGTGTTCAATAAATATCTGTTGATTGAATGGGTGGAAACATAACTTTCATTCAGTAAACCATGATTTAATAAGAAGGAAAAACACAAAAGTCTGATATGTCCGGTGTTCTTAGTGAATGAGGCACCCACTTCATAAATGTAGCTTACTCCTGGAAGAAACAGACTTCTTAAGGTTTTTGATTTTTAAAAAATCACCACGATGCCAGGTAAAATGTTCTATATCCTAACACTTTAATTCTTTCTAAAATAGCAGAGTACACAGGTGACTACTAGAATGACAAATAACCAACAAAAGAGCCAACATCAAGGAGCATCAGACACCACAGGTGCTACTGTTTTCATTGACACAGAGACGCCTTTATGCCAGATGCCTTTTGAAACTTTAAGACCAACTAATTCCATCATATCTCCAAAGCCTGTGTGATCATGGGTAAATTCCTTAGTTCCTTTACCCTCAGTTTTTCTATTCACACAATGACATTAAAATAGTACCTGCCTCAGGTTTAAATGAGATAATACAGTATCAATCTTAGCAACTGATGTTAGCACTTAGTGCCTAATAGTCTCATTATTATACATGACATGATTACCCCCCAAATCCAAACCCTTGCACTCATCTGTCCTTTCTCTTACTTCTCAATGCTTCTATCCCAATACTGCTGTGTGCCTCCAGCTCATCTGCATGCCATCTGGATCTGGCAACTCTTCCCTGTCCTTCCATCTTCCACTCCCGTCTCCTCGCCTCATTTGAAACCTGAGTCTATGATAAGAACATCCCTCCTCTAAGGTCTTCTCAAGACAACCACAGGCCTAGGAGTGAGCAGAGGAAAGCACTCTTGTGCTTCCTTGATGGGACTTCTCCATTCCTACACACCTTCCCCATCACTTCCTTGGAAGTACATCTCTGACCATCTACTTTCCATCCCTCTGGTTATGAATGAAAGAACTTGATCAGTTCTTCACATTTCCTGAAGACTTTAGCACAGGCTCACAGCCTCCCCTTTCATTCCTGTGGCTAGCACCAGTTTAGACAATTTCACACCAGCACGTCAACTGGTACAATGAAGACCTTCCCGATTCAAGCTTTAACCCAACTTCTATTTCTAAGAGTCAGGGGCATGCTAAATGACACCATAGAATGTCATTGACAAAACCCAGAAGGTATGAAACTTAAAAATGATGCCTCTGCTTCTCCAAAATAAATTGCAAAAGAAAAAGAAAAGGGGCGAGATTGGTGACAACAAATGCCGATTACAAGTAAAAAGGAACAACAAATGCAGTGCAAGGACTTTATTGGAACTTCATTAAACAAATAAACTACCAAAAAAATTCAAAACAATCATTTTTTAAGCAAATGGAGAAATCTGAACATTGACTGGATATTTGGTGACATTAAGAATTTAGTGTTCATCTTTTAATCTTTGATAATGAAATTGTTTTCGTGTTTTTAAAAATCTCTGGAGTAACAAAAACATGGAACTAGAAATGAAGAGGAAGTTCCATATCGATAAAGGATCAATCCATCTGGATGATGTAGCACCTCAAAATATATAAAGCAAAAACTGACAAAATTAAAGGGAGGACTACACAATTCAACAATAAAACTTGAATATGTCAATGCCACATTTTTTATATTAAGTAGAACAGCTAGACAGAAGATCCACAAGAAAATAGAATATTTGAACAACATTCTAAACCAGGTAGATCTTATTTATACTCATGCACTTGACACTGGAATGATTGCATTGGCATTTTGACCCAGAAATTTCAGTCTCCAGAACCTCAGCTAGTAGTTATGAGTTTTCCTGGTCCCAAAACACTCAGATACCTCCAGAACACTAACAAGATGTGCTCCCTCTCTGGCTCTGCTGGGCTCACCTGGTGAGGCCTCCCAGCGATCAACCAAGGGCCCTCTCTGGAGGGGCTGTTCCAGGGAAGGATGGTCCCAGATGCTGTGGCTCAGTGGATTGTACACAGGCCTGTGAACCAAGGAGTTGCCAGTTCAATTCCCAGGGAAGGGTGGCTGGAGCGGGTGTGGGAGAGGGTGGTCTGGGATGATTCTCAAGAATCACAAACTTTCTCTTCTGCACTCTTCTTTCTGCATGGCTTTTCTTCTGCTCACCATTCCTCACCTTGTTCACTGAAGCTCTCCCTGGTACCTTTGCTTCCATTTTCCATCCCACCTGCCTTTTCTCTTGCTTTGACATTTTCAATGGTTCCCCAGTGTTTCCATGTTCAAGTTCAAACCACTACACATAGATGAGGTAACAGTTTCATTTTATCTTCAACTACTCCACCCCTACCCCTACCCAGGATCACTCAGTTGGTGGTGTGATTAATGTATTGGGTGGGACACTTCATTGTGCAAGACTGTCCTGTGTATCCTAATAGGTTTAGCATTTCTATCTCCTGCCTACTGAACACCCATAGTACCCCAGCTTCAGACATTCTGACAACTGAAATATGTCTCCAGATATTTCCAAACAGCCCCTGCTCTCCCTTTTCAACTGGGTGGCTCCTCATACCTCATCTCAAGTATTGGGCTGAACCATATACAAACACCATCTTCATAGTTCAAGAACATTGAACACTGGCTATTAATATGGTTCCATGGAAAATTCTTCCTTTCTGATTTCCTTCTGGAAGCCCTCACTACTGATGCCCTACAGCACCCTGTGATTTTCGTTATTCAAGTGCTAATCACCATGTGTCATAATAGCTGGTTCACTGTCATCCCCTCCTTCTAACTACACTCAACCCTGATTACCTGGGAGCAAAGACCAAGTCCTCACTTGGTATCTCAAGTTTCCTTTGGCTCGGTGCCTGGCATTATAATAGGTATTAAACCCATGTTTGATGAATAAATAAACAGGATATTGAGCATACTTTCCCTGATGATTCAATGTTATTACTCCTGAGCACAGAGATGTCTTCTGGGCCTATTGAGCCACAAACAGCTTTTGGCTCTCCACTGAATGAGGCATCTCCGCCCGACTTTACGGATTTGAATGCCTAGGTTCCGCATCATATCATCAGCATTCCTGCCTCTAGGGATCTTTCCAGTGGCTTTTGGAATCTGAGGCAGACTATCCTGAGTGCAGGGATGAGACGCATCATGAACTTTGGCAAGCACACATTTCAGCATCCATTTGTCTTATTTCTGAGTTCTTGATAGGTTTCACACAGTTGATGGTCTCTCTTCTGGCTAATGAGACTCTTTCGGGTTCTAAAAACCTTTCACATGGTCACATTCTTTTGGGAAACAGCTGAAAGATGACTCAGCAGAACTTTTGAGGTAGAGAAATATTCCTGCGCTGAGATGCCCATTTCTAGGTCTCTGGCTGGTGATAAAGTGATGGACTAAGTGATTTCTCGAGGTATTGTTGAAATGGTTGTTGTGTCCCTGTAGTCATAAAGCATACTAGTGCATTTTGAAGTTAATTCATTTTTTTGCAGAATTTTGTCCTTTTTAATGGTCTAAACATAGGAAGGGTCAAACATCTAAGAATGATATAACACTCTTAAAATCTTCTAAAATATCCACATATATTCCAAGATTTAAATCAACGGACTTCGACCCTGCAGGTATATGGATGCAATTTGTTATTTTAAAAAAGTTTGTACCAGTTTAAATAATAAAAAATTTTTAATGAAAAAATAAAATCTAGGAATAAAAATTTTAAAAAATTACATTGCTAAACACTGAGCTGTGAATCTCAGCTATAAGGATCTTTCTAATTTCTAATTTGGATGACTTTGAAAGAAAACCTTTTCCATTATAATTCATATAGAATGAAGTCCTGGACCATGAGGGATAGAGATAAAGGGAATAACTAGGTAGGAATAAGTGAGAAATGCAACTTTTCAGAAAATGTTTATATTTCCTACTATAGCTTAAATATTTTTAATATATCTTAAATGCTATATAACTCAATCAACAAACAATTTTTGGTTCTTTTATTTTTAACATTTATTCTCATCATTTTTATCTTGTATAGGTAATTACAACAACTTAGGGAAAAGCAATATAAACAGAAGAATGTTAAATACTTTTAAAAAAGAAAAACAAATCTGCTGCTTGCAAAAAAGTTCTCCAGTGCATAATGTTATACATTGTACTAAACAGCTTATGGAAAACCATTATTAAATAGGAAAACATATACACGAAGCCCACATATATAAATAACTTAACATAAAATAGCTTGATTCTGATGCAGTGCTTAACAAAGCAAAGTATGATGCGATGGGTATCAACTTCGTTAACTGGACAAGTCCGACGACACAAATCAGGTAAGTGATAAACCCTCAACGATGTGCTCATGAAACCACCAAGTCCAGCGGGATTCTTTTTGTTCTTCAGCTGTATCCAATTTCCTTCCAGAGAGCATCATATTTTCATCTTTTTGGCATGTAGGCTGTAAAGAGAAAGAGAAGAAACAAATAAGCAATGACCGAGTGACTGGTTGGCGGGGAGGGCTCCCATACCTCACGATCGCCTCTCGTCCTTTATTCCTATCTCAGGATGCTAAGTAGCTCTGAGTGCAAAAAAGGACATCGAGGCTGCGAGAACAAGAGCCCCGCCCACCAAAGCTCAGTGAGCTAATGACAGAGACAGGACGTGAACACGTGCACTGTGTCTTCAAATTCCGTGTCTACAGCCCCCTGGTGTTCAATGGCTTCTGTCTGGTGATAAGATGTGACTTGCTATTATCATCAGTGTAAATTGGAACCACGGTTCTCTTTCTCACTATTTATTTCTCAGTTTTTAATAAATGAATGTCATGAAGTCTGCAAATTATATAAACAGGAGACATTCCTGACACGAGAATCAAACAGCTCATGAGTATCAAATGCATAGAGGAATCTAATACATCATGTGAAAAATTAAATTTTCAAAAATAAAAAAGTTTTGTAAGTGGAAAAATTGAATTTTTGTTTTGATGGTCCAACTCCAATTTCCCTTTTCAAAATTCCCCAGTGCTTAGGCTGAGCCACCCCAGCGAGGCTAGGATTTACCACCCTGCCCTTGGCCCTCACCCCCACGTTTGCAGAGAGGCTGATGGATTGTGACCGTTCATACCTGAGGACATGCATGGCATGTGTCACCCATTTCTTCTTCGGATCTGCACACACAGACCATCCTTTCTTTGTGTAAAAGCTGAAAAATCAGAAAATTTGATTTATGTTTAAAGAGTTTTAAGTGGCTTTTTCATGGAACATACAACAGAAATTTCATATTTCAATTGATTGCTTCACACACTAAACATTTCATTTACTTCAAGGTGAAACAAAATGAAAAAAAAAAACTGTCCCAATAAAGCTTGATGCAAGAAATGAAAGGAATGCTCCTTGACTTTCTCTACAATTTAACAAATTGCTGTGCAATGGCAGAAAAATAAAGTCCCAGAATATATATATAACTATATATAATATATATTATATATAATTCTAAAGTATATTATTCTCTATATATCAAGAATATTGTACATGACAGTATAATTATTCTGAATTTTTACTTACAGCCTCAGCCATTTTCTGGGACAAAATGTTTTCCACATTTTCCTGAGATAGAACTTTAGGAGCCTATAAGTTTATCTTAGAAAGTGATTTTGCCCCTACTACATTTCTTTAAAAAAAAAAAAACTTTTGCCTTATCCTAGTCTTATCCAAAGTGAGCTTTGAGTCAAGCCTCCTTCTGTCACCACAGAAGGATGCCTGGCTTTGGGTGGTAAGTGCCCGATGCAAAGTACAGATGACGTATTACAGAACTGCACATTTGAACGTTATATAATTCTATACACCAATAAATTGAATAAAATTACATATACATGTGCTCATATGTATATACACAAGTGAGCTTTGAAATAGGCAACCACTACTAAAACAAAGCTACCTTTGCCACATTTGTTATTTCCAAATGAAACGCCAAAACAGGCAAAAACTTTTTATTCCTGAAATTCCCATGTACCCCTGGTACAACTGAGTCAAAATCGATTAATAACTTACATGACTGCATCGATGTCACAAGCTTCATTGGCGAACTGCCTCGAGAAGCTATGGATATTTCTGGCACGAAGCATGCGATCTGTGTACCGAAGGCAGCAGTCGAAGGTGCTTGCCGCTAAAAAGAAAAGAAAGGCTTTGAGTCCACACGAAGAGACTCCCCTCTGATAGGTATTATGAAACTACTTGTAGTTGTGGAAAACCTAGAATCTGATTTACAGGGTAAATAAACTATTTGGAGGAACAGTTCCAGTGTCTTGGAGACCCAATTTAACGTAGTTTCCAGTTCCTTGAAAAAAGAGTTTTGTGGGGGGAATTCAAATATAGTGCAGAAGCACATTTGTCATAAAAGGAGTATCTTTGCTGTAAAACACAAACAGTCTTAGTTCTGCCCACTGTAATTACTCAAGAATATGAGTAACTTCCACTCAAAGAAACTCTCACAGATAAACTTCCAAATTCAGAAAATGAATAAATTGGCAGATTTCCATCTATTATCTGGCCACTGTGTATTGAGGGGAAAGACAAGATTTTACAAAGGCAAATGCTTTTATAGAAGCTATTACTAGAGCACTAGCTATAGCGCTCTATAAATTATAATAGTTAATGGAAGTTTTTCATTTTGCTCATAACAGTCCAACAGGTGCATTTTTAGGAATGCACCTGTTGCTAAAAGTGGCGTTCTCTTATAGCAATAAAGCACTACTTGGACATTCCTCCAAGTCACATTATAATCTGATGTAAGACAAGGATAAAAGTTATCACAAAGTTGGCAAGAGATGTCCCAGAGGCCTTGCAAAAATGAAGAACTCAGGTGCCACAAAGGATGAGTTTTAAACTTCACTAGAACTAGTTGGGAGGTGAGAAAGCTGGGGAAGTGAAAGCACTCCTTGCATTCTAGAATGACCCCATTCTCAGGTAATATTACCCAATTCACATCACTCCCAGAAACAGCACTTTGGCAGAATGCTGGAGCTCAGGGATCTCTCTGAAGCTTCCTACCCCCCAAATTCTGCTGGGATTGACAGCACAGAGGAAAAAGGCTGATAAACAGCAAGAATCCTTCCCATCTTCATTCACCAATGAGCTGACAACTCCCATCAATCCCTTTTGAAGACTTTCTAACGGGCTTCCTTCCTTTGGGGACCCCCAGAGGAGCTCAAGGCTTAGAGAAAAATGAAACTAGTCCTTCCTTCCAGGCCAGCAGGAAGAGAGACACTTACCTTCTGTCTGGCTGCAGAGGTGGAGTAGCAGCAGTGACATCAAAGCAGCCAGGAGGAAACACTTACTACTGCTCATCATTTTCAGCTCAGAGGATAGATGTGCACAGTGCTGAGTACTCAGTGCCCTGGGAGAGCTGCTGAGCTCTGGTAGAACCCTGAGACTTAGATGGCACTACTTATAGCAATTATTGGGAATGTACACAAAAGGCGTGTTCTCCATGGGGTTTTCCCCATCAATGGACCTGCCCCATCATGTCGTCACAAAGAAAAAACCCACAGGGAAAACTTCCTGCCTTCCTCTTCTTCTTGTTGGGAAAGTGTGAAGGTCAAAGTGGGAAAGGGAAGGAAAGGGGAAAATCCTGTTAATCCTTCAAAGATTCCCAACCAGTTTTAATTTCATCTCTTATCTCTGAAAAGAGAGGATATGGCTTAGCAGTAGTTTAAAGGTCAGCCCCACAAAGGAACATTCCAGAACTCCTATTGTTATACTCTATTTGCTTTCCAAAGCCAATCAGAGAGGGGGAGGATTCCAGACATACCCAAGAACCATTTGTAATTGCTAGCTCGTGTTCACCTATCACCAAAGACCTTGAATTTCTAGGCTACCTTTCAGATCAGGTAATATAACAATGTATAGAAGTGTCTCCAACTTCTGTGGAAAATACCAACCCTTAAGAAACACTCAAGCCTCATCCTGACCAGGTGGCTAAGTTGTTTGGAGCATCATTCCATACACCCAAAGGTTGTGGGTTCAATTTCCAATCCGGGTACATACCTAGGTTGTGGGTTCTGTCCCATGTGGCACATGGGATTCATATTTCCCACTCTCTCTTCCTTCTTCTCTCTCTAAAATCAATAAACATATCCTCAAGTGAGGATTTTTTTTTAAAAAAAGAGGCTCAGGTCTCAGCTTCCTCTTCATTTTGTATCAACTCTTCTCAGAGTCTGCTTCATTTACAGGACTCTAACCAATATTACAGCCCAGCAAGTAATCCCACCTGCCCTAAACTCCTGATGTTGATGTGGTTATGTGACTCAACCCAAACTCCAGGAGGGTTGAAAATGAAGAAGACTATCAACAGTGGTTAATCAATAAAACAAATGTCAAATAATAGTGCTGATGATGATGATGATGATGATGATAATGATAATGATGATATAATAAGGACCCTCCACTAAGGAGAATATCATTGTGTGCTAGGGATTGGGTTTGCAGAACAGGTGAACTATAGAGAAGCAATGCAAGTGTGTTTGGTAGGGGTGATAGAATTGGTTTTATGCTATTATAGGCATGGCTACACATATCTACCTGTGTGTTTAAAATCATAAAGTTGTACATCCAAAGAAAAAAGTGAATTGTATTATATGATCATTTACAAATAAATGACATTGAAATAATTTTTTAAACTCTCCACTAAGCACAAATGAGTTGAGATAAACCATCATCAAACAATAAACAAAAGAGAACTGGAATTGCTCTGCTTATATCTAAAAAGATAAAAACAGATTTTAAAACAAAAAAGTAACTAGAAATGAAGAGGAAGTTCCATAATGATAAAGGATCAATCCATCCAGAAGATATAAAAATTATGACTAAATATACATCAATATCACTTCAAAATACATATAGCAAAACTGACAAAACTGAAAAGAAAAATAGACAATTAAGCAAAATTTGAATATGTCAATACCATATTTTTAAAAATAAGTAGAATTCCACTGCTAGGATTATATTCTAAGAAACTCGAAGGACCAATCCAAAAGAACCCATGCACCCCAATGTTCATAGCAGCACAATTTACAATAGCCAAGTGCTGGAAGCAACCTAAGTGCCCATCAGTAAATGAATGGGTTAAAAAACAATGGTACATATACACAATGGAATACCACACAGCAATAAGAAGGAGCTCCTACCCTTTCGACAGCATGGATGGAACTAGAGAGCATTATGCTAAGTGAAACAAACCAGAAGGTGAGGGACAAATACCACATGATCTCACCTTTAACTAGAACCTAATCAACAAAACAGACAAGCAAGCAAAATATAACCAGGGACATTGAAATTAAGAACAATCTGACAGTACTGATAGAGGAGGTAGGAGGGGATAATGGGGGGGAAGGGTTTCCAGGAGCAACTATAAAGAATACATGAACAAAACCAAAGGGGGGGAGGTGGGCGGAAGCAAAGGAAAGAGGTGGGGATGGCTGGGGTGTGGGGGGGGGAGTGGTGGAGGGTAAATGCAGACAACTCTAATTGAACAACAATAAAATAACTTTTTTAAAAAAGGAAAAACTAGACAAAAAATCCACAAGAAAATAAATATCTGAACAGCACTCTACACCAAGTAAAACTAACAGACATCTATAAAACACGTCATCCAACATCAGCAGAATAGGCATTCTTCTTGAGTGCATACAGAACATTCTCCAATAGAAATCACATGCTAGGACATTGAATAAGTCTTCATAAATTTAAAATGATTGAGATCATACAAAGTATGTTTTTAAACCACAATGGAATTAAATTAGAATTCAGTAACAGAAGGAAATTTGGGAAATTTACAAATACATGGATATTAAACAATACATTCCTAAGCAACCAATATGTCAAAGGAGAAACCAGTAAAGGAGGTCACAAGAGACAGCCATACATTGGTGTTTCTCTCATTTTCTCCCTCCCTTCCCCTCTCTAAAAATAAATAAAATCTTTAAAATAAAATAAAAAAACATTGTGATTCAGCGAAAGCACTGCTCAGAGGGAAACATAACAAGGATAACAGAAATGGGGGACAGCAAAACAATAAATCAGTGGAACCAAAAATTGCTTCTTCAGAAAGATCAACACAATTAACAAGCTTTAACTGAACTAATCAAGCAATAAGGGCAGGAAGGCCTGAAGAATGAAGAGAAGACAAATTGCTGAACTCAGGAATTGAAAAGGGAATATCTCTACCAAATTCAAGACATGAAAAAGGACTTAAAGAGAATACTATAAATAACTAAAATGCCAATAAATTACATAATGTAAATGAAAGGGACAAATTATTAGAAAGACAAAAATTTCTGAGACTGACTCAAGTAAATGTAATATATTGGAATAACTTTATAATAAATAAAGATATTAAATTGGTAACTAAAACTATTTCTATAAAGAAAAGTCCAGACCCAGATGACTTCACTAGTAAATTATACCAAACACTCAAAAAATTTTAAATCAATTTTTCACAAATGTTTCCAGAAAGTAGAAGGAAGAATTTCTAACTCTTTCTATGAAGACGGTCTTACACTGATATCAAAACAAGAAAAAAAAATCACAAGAACACTACAGGCCAATATCTCATATAGACACAAAAATCCTCAACAAAATACTAGTAGGCTGTATCCAGTAACATATGTAAATATAATCAAGTGGGATTTTTCCCAGGATATGTAGCACATATATTAACAATAAAAAACAAAAACCATATGAAAATCATTTGATAAAATCTAACCAGGAATTAACTCACTAAATTAGGAGTAGTATAGAACTTCCTCAACCTGATGAAAGATCATCTATGAAAACCCCACAGCTAACACCATACTTAATACTGAAAGGTGGAACACCTTCCCCTGAATTGAAGAACAAGACAAGGATATCTGATCTCATGCTTCTAGTCAACATTGTGCTGGAGTTTCTAGCCAGAACAATTGGGCAAAAAAGAGGGAAAAGAAATAAGATAAGAAAGATAAGAAAGGAATTAGTAACCATCTTAATTTGCAGATGAAGTAACCTTGTATGTAGAAAATCCTAAATAATCCACTAAAGAACTATTGGACCTAATGAGTTTAACAAAGTTCTAAGATTCAAGACCAATATACGGAAATCAATTATATTTCCATACACTATCAATGAATAACCTAAAAATAAAACTCAGAAAACAGTGATTATAATAGCATCAAAAATATTAAAATACTTTGGTATAAATTTAACAAAATAAATTTGAAAACTACAAAACATTATTCATTAAAGAAATTAAAGAAGACTTCTAAATAAATAAAAAGAGATATCATGTCATAGATTAGAAGACTTAAGTAACATTGTCAAAATGGCACTTCTCCCCAAACCGACTTACAGAGTCAACACAGTTGCTGTCAAAATCCCAGCTAGCTTCTTTGCAGAAATGGTAGAGCCAGAACCAATACTCAAATTTGTATGGAATTACAAGGGATCCCAAATAGCCAAAACAATCTTGAAAAGGAAGAACAAAGTCAAAGACTTTATACTCCCTGGTTCTAAAACTTGCTGCAAAACTACACCAGTCAAGACATGTGCTATTGGCATACGTGTAGACATACAGATCAATGGGATGGAATTGAATTGAGAGGCCAGGTAGAAACCTCCATGTGAATGGTCAGCTTTCCTATTCAGTGGGAAAAAGAATGGTCTTTTCAACAAATGGCAATGGCACAACGAGGTATCCACGTGCAAAAAAAATGGTGTTAAACCACTACCTCACCCATACACAAAAATTAACTCAAAATGGGTCACAGACCTACACATGCTAAAACTATGAAAGTCTTAGAAGAAAACATGGGAGTAAGTATCTATGAACTTGGGTTGGGCAATGATTTTTCAGATACAGCACCAAAATCTCAAACGACAAAATAAAGAAAACAAATTCACTGAACTATATCAAAGCTACAATCTTTTGTGCATCTAAGGATACTATAAAGATGTAAAAAAAAACAACCCACAGAAAGGTAGAAAATACTTGCAAATCAAATACCTGTAAAGGACTTATACTTGTACATACTTGTACCCAGGATATGTGAGAAGATTTTGCAAATTAAAAGTAAAAATATAAGTAACCCAACTTTAAAATATCTGGATAGACATTCCTACAAAGATATATGTTCTTGGCCATTCCTACAAATGGCCAAGAAGCCCAGGAGAAAATGCTTGCTACCTTTAGTCCTTAGGAAATTGTAAATAAAAACCACTATGACATGCCGCTTCACGCCCACACGAATGGCAGAATCAAAAAGACTGATAAGAAGTGTTGGCAGTGATGTAGAGAAACTAAACCTTCACACACAGTTGATGATGAAATAGGCTGCAGTCACGGTGAAAAACGTTTGACGGTTCCCAAATGGGGGATCCTAGAACGACCATACACCTGAGCAATCGCGTTCCTACACTTATACCCAAGAGAAACAATAATGTATATCCACAAAGAACCTTGTATATGAATGTTCATGGCAGACTTATTCATACCAGCCAAAAAAAATGGAAACAACCCATATGTCATAAACTAATCAACAGAAAACATCAAATGCAGCAAATTTTCACAATAGAACAGTATTTGGCAATAATAATGATTGAAGTATTGATGCATGGATGAACCTTGAAAACATTACACCAAGTGAAAGAAAACCAAGCACATGTTATACGATTTCATTTATAAGAAACACTCAAAATTGTCAACCTGTAGAAACAGGATGTAGAATGGTGATTGTCTAGGTTGGGGTGTCGGGGTAAAGGGTGGGGAATGGAGAGTGACCGCTAATGGTGCTGTCGTTTCTTCTTATTCTAAAAATAGTTAGTGATGGTGTCTGCATAACCCTATGAATAGGCTAAAACACACTGAGTTGTGCACTTTAAAAGGCTGAATTTTATGGTACGTGAATTATGTCTCAGTAAAGCTCATAACCAAACGAAAATCACCCACCTATATCTGACACGCTCCAGCCCACAATCCTCGCTCCTTGTGACTATTCTTCCTTGCTCATGTTCTGCACTGACTTCTCCTTCCTCCACTCCTGTGGCCTCCCCTCTTCTCCTCCCTCACTGGTCTTTTCAGAACTTC